CTGCTAGGAATGACCTCACGTAATTTTTTCCCTATCTCTCTCTCTCTCTCTCAGCAAAAAGTGAAAGAAAGGTGTTGTGTTGTACACTCAGTAACTGTATACATTTCATCCAATGAGAAACAGCTGTCAGTTTTGAACCAAGAAATACTTGCATCTTGATGGAAGATTTTGGCAAAGAGCTTTGCCTTGTAAAAGGAATGGTAAAGAGTTATGGCAGAGGAGAAGACATTGAAACTTAAGAAAAGTTTGATGAGGGTGGGTAAAGGATAAAAGAGCATAGGTGTTGGAGCTGATCTGTTTTTAAAAAAAAAAAAAAAAATCCCATAGCTGATATTTTCAATTTCACGGTGTATTAGACCCCCCCCCCATGCCCAGATACACATTTACATTTAATATTATTGAATAATGGAGTTACACTAGGTAGAAGTGCTAAAGGCAACAAGATTTGGGTAAATATTAACCTACCAGATACCTCAACTTCACATATAAGACCCGTGAGATATTTTTGATCTAATTGAGGTTGGGAAGTGTGTATGTATATACGTGTGTGTGTGTGTGTGGGGGGGTTGTTATGGTATATACTAAAGAAAGTGCACTTCCTGGCAGGAAATGAATCTTATTTAGTAAGACTTCTGATTTCTAGGTTGTTAAAAAACCTCTACTCATATATGTGTACCACTAAACATTTATAGTATTATGAAATAATGTTGAGTTAAAAGTTCCTTAATTGATGAAAGAAAAAATGTGTTTGTGTGTGTGTATGTATCCACACCTCACACACTTTTACATTTTTCAGACTTGTCATCATCTTTGCTGTTACATTTATGTTTCAGTTGTATGCTTTGTCCTTCTTCAGGTGATTGTCAATTCTCCTCAAGAACAAAGAAAATGTATAAATTTACTGTCGTCATGAATGTCCAAGTTTGCTGAGAATTAATTTCCTGTCAATAGTCTCATTTTCTTTAGTAAGATTTTCAATCCCTTGACAGGTAGGCATAAATTACACAGTTTAAAAAACTGGTATCTCTACTCAAGTGCATCTACCTACTAAATATTGTGTTTATAGTAATTTATATTTATATATATATATATATATATATTATTGAATACCCATATTTTAGTAGACACTGTTTTTTATTTTTATTTTAAACAGTATTTATTTTGTCTACTGGCATGCACACTGGAGAAAACATATTAAAGAAAATGTTTCTCTAGCAGGATTCAAATCTGTGTCCACCTTTGCAGGAGAAACCACCTTCTGATCTACTGTGCTTTAACCATTCTAAAGCTCCACAGTCAAGTAAGGTTCTATTTGTCTTTAAAGCACACTCACTTATACAGGTTTTCTTGAAAGGCATATCTGCTCAGTTTCATCTGAAATGTAAAAAAAATGCAATCTCTAAAAAATTAATGGATTTTAATTTGAATTTAAGATAAAGGAAGTTGACACCATGTAGAATTGTCTGACTGTTTTCTTAAGGAATGTTGTTACCCAGACAAACTAATTGATCGTCTTGAGAAATAAGATTAAGAAACAAAACAAATACTTTAAAAATATCATTAAAACATTGAAAACAATAAAAAAAAAATATTTTTAAAAATTTTAAACAAATTAAGACAAATAAAAATAAAAAAATGTAGGAACACTGCAAAAATCACGAAAATGATATTAAAAGTTTGTAAGGATTTTTAATTTAATATTCAAATATCAAACTATATTTAAAAAAAAAACACCTGAAAAAACACCTGAACAATAAATATGTAGCATTATATATCTTGAGTATTAAAACATCTACTGGCTGCTAGCAATAATTATTTGTTTAATCATATCAATAGAATTAAGGAATTGTCAGATAATCTTGTTACTGAGAAAAGCCAACAACACTTAAAAGGATATCTCTAATAAAAAATCAATTTGCAGATGAATATAATTTTTTTTTTTTTTTTTTTACATTTACTTTGGCCAATCTTTCTCAGATGACTCCTTTTTCTCTTAGAAATAAGATTTGTTTCTTAGTTTTCTTTATTGTTGTCATTGATGTCTTATTAAAAATCCGTTTTTTTTTTTTAGTTTTTTATTGAGCATAAGTCCATAAGTATGAAAGATCCAATGTCAATCAAATTCACTAATGAAGTAATGGTCTGTGAAACTAACACCCAACACTATTTTTGCCATTTTTTAAGCTAAAAACATTTTTTTTTTTTAATTCAATGCAATTCCAACCTACTTCATGGGTTAATAACCCATTCTACCAAAAAACATTTTTATTTTCTGGGACTGTACCCAGTTTTTTTTTTATTATTTTTGTGAAAAACCATCTTGTTTTTAAATTCAACTCACATTCCTCCAAGTAGAGTCTGCCTCATTTTCTGCTTTGTAAAGAAAATCAGTTCAAACTATTGACTAAACAAGTCCTAATAGTTTACTGATTTGATTAAAAACAGGTGAATAGGTACGCAGTCTCTTTACATTATGTTTTATCTTTTTTTTATATATTTTTAATTTATTATTATTATTACTACTTATTTTTTTCTTTTGAATTTTTTGTTGGATTAGCAAACTTTGCTTCTGCATAATTTCTGATCTGTTATTGTTAGTGGAAGGTTTAACTTTATTCATTGTGAAAAGTAAAGTAGAGCTTTTAAAAAGTTGGAGGAAATCCTTTCATATGTTACATCCTGATCAGAAGGCTGAGGTTGACCCATGAATTGGAAATAAGCAAATAGTAATTATGCTCAGAAGATTGCCTTAAATTTCATCATTTTAATCAGAGGTGAACTTTGTTTGGCCCGTGTTTCCTCCTCCTTTTTTTCTTCTTTTTAATATAGACAAGCGTTTTTATAGAAGTAGTTTTACTATTCTCTCTCTATTTCTGCTTGTTTGGATGTACAAGTTCGACAATTTTCCACCTAGTATCAGAGTGTAGTATCTGCCAGTTCCCCTGGTCCTTCTGACCTGGAAATCTACATTATATATTAAGCAGGAAGGTATGAAGGAGAGAAGTAATGAAAAAGAGGAATGTTGAACAAAGAAACATAAAGAAAACTACAAAAGAAAAAGAAAAAAAAAAGAAAACCAGATGAAAGGAAAAAGTAGGAGTGTGTAGTAATAAATAAAATCAATTGTACACGTGTTCCTACTCAGATTCACAGACAACATCCACTCATCCAGGGACCTGACTGTACAATTAATTTTTCAAAATTCCTATTTATATATGAAAAAAATATAGTTTTTAAGGTATACAGTATTTATAGGACAAAAGTGCTCAATATCTGAGACAGAGCATATGTAAATATAAACAGTGGACACAATTATCAACACTGGATGGTGACAGTTTGTTTCATGCTTAATCACACTTTTCAGGTCATGATGCTTAAACACAATGGCTTGGTGATTGTGTTTAGGCATGAAACAGACTATATTGACACTCTTTGCTTATATTTACAGACACATGTGGAGAGTGGGGTAGAGAAAGAGAGTGTGTGTATGTGTGCGGATAAAGGGATAGTAATGCAAGAAAGCCAGAGAGATAGGTCTGTTGTTTCAATATCTAGAGACAATAAAATATTGAAGAGCAAGTAAGGATGGAAAGGCATAAATATTCTGATATATTAACCCTTTAACTGTGAATGGATGAGCTTAGTTACCATTTTCTAATTCATTTAAGAGGAGCATTGCAGTGTAGTCACAGAGGATATTCAATTTGGTGTTAAAAGGTGCTAAAAAAATGCAAAAATATATTTGATGCATTTTAGTTGTAAACTCATAATAAAATGATAATGAAATGTTTTTCATAAAAATTGTTGGTTCTAATCCTATAACAGGAATGATTGCAAAATACTTTCCCCCTCCCTAATTTGTAGGCAGAAGCACACAAATGCATACTGGGATTCTCCCTAGCCAATAAGCCACTTGTCTGTGTCATATGACTCAGTCCCAGTCTGTCTTGCATTGATATCACAATGCTATGATCGCTTATACAAACTTGCTCTTGTGTCAACCCCAATTCTTAGTTTATGAACTTTTGCCATATTACCATTTGCTTTGTCTTGTTAATTTGCCTTGCAAATATAATTTGCTTGTTTTATATGAATATTTTTTTTCTTTTTTGTGTTATTGCTTTTTGCAAACTTTGTCAGTTTGTTGGGCAGGTTTATCATTTATTGTAGATTTAATCATGGCTACTCACTTTACAAAATTTATTAACTAATTATTATGTTTTTCATAAAATAACTGCTATTTTGAAATTAGAAAATGCTAATGATGTTTGTTAGGAGGATTTGATTTATAACTGCATTTAAGAAATGAAGAAAAATCAGCTTCAAAGATGTAAACATATAAAAAAAATTTGAACTTTATTTTTCATAATTTCTGGCAACAATTTATGAAATTTTCTCTTTTACCATTTGGATTTGACATAAATCTAAATAAACTGATTTCCCTTTAAAAGTCAGGATAAAAGAATTTATATCATTGTCGATATACAGGTAGCATAATGGTTAGTAGCTTGAAACAAGAAATTGAGGAGCTGAATTTGAAATCATGATGTTCATTACATTCACTTTTGTATAATTACCCTTGGGAAAGGTATGAATTTATCTCTCCTCTCACTAAATATGGGTTAAGTGACAGGTCAGATTGTGCTTTCTAGCTATGATTGGCAACCAGTCTAGGTGAAGGACAATTCTGAATTAGTACAGCAGAAGTAGAGGTTTATCCCATGTTCGCTATTTAGGATTGGGTTTCTGGTTCCTTCTAAAGTCTTATTGTCTTTCACTCTCAGTAACCCCTCTCTCTTAGTGGTATTATCACCTTGCTTGGGGTGAAATGATTAAAAATAATTAAAAAAGAAACACAGACACGTAAAGCAATACAAACCTGTGGGGTGCTGATCCTATATGAGTAAAACAAAAACAATAGATTTCGGCAACTATGAACAATCCCACTGGAAAGTGATTATCCAGCATGCTGTTGACACCCAATGAGCATTAGATTGACAGCCAGATCACATTGAAACAACGATTCTCATATGATCACTGAAAGTTAAGCAACATTGAGCCTGGTCAGTACCTGGATGTGTGACCACTAGGGAATACCAGGTGCTA